TGCAAAAGGCTGGGACACTCGGCCAGCCATTGCGGCAACAAAACTCGTTGTGGCAAATGTGGTGAAAACCACAAAGAGGATTCTTGCCACAAAGAATCAGTAAAATGCGCTTACTGTGGCGAGAATCTTCACCCCTTGCAGGAGTGCCCGATGTACAAACAGCACTCCGATAAAGTGCAGCGTTCAATCTCTGGACGCTCCAAGCAGACATATGCTCAAATGTTGAAGGCTGCATCAGCCGTCCAAGATGCAAACCAATTTTCGGTTTTGTCAGTTGAATAATCGGACTCTGACTCATCCGATGAAGGTGATTCTACGGTGGTACACGCACCTTCAAAAATAGACGGTTCCTCAAAAAGAAAATGCCCCTCCCCGAAAGTGCGCCGTAATCAAACTAAAGTCACCTCCAGACGATTGCCAAATTCCCAGGGTAATGGGGATGAAAAAACAAAACCAAAGGCTCCTGTTGATCCAATCCCTGGATGCAGCAAGAATTTTCCGCCATTGCCCAAAAAAGATAAGAAAAATAATAATGCTGCTCCTCAAACTTCTCAAAAGAAATCCAAGTCCGAACGAGGTTTGCTAGCTTTTTCGGACATTGTGGAATTCATATTAAATATGTTCAACATACAAGACCCTCTTAGAAGCTTAGTTTCTGCCTTGCTTCCAACGTTAGAATCATATCTTAAGCAATTGACTGTTTCATGGCCCCTCCTTGCATCAATCATATCTTTCGATGGATAATTCGTCGAACGAGGTTGAAGATATGATCACGGTGCTACAGTGGAACTACCGTAGTCTAGTGCCTAAACTAGACTCGTTCAAATTTTTACTTCACAATTCTGATTGTGATATATTTGCTCTCTGTGAAACATGGCTTTCTTCCGATAAAGAACTCAACTTCCACGATTTTAACATTATACGCCTGGATAGAGACGATTCTTATGGAGGAGTACTTTTAGGGATCAAAAAGTGCTACCCTTTCTACAAAATGTCCCTTCCTGCTCTATCCGGCGTCGAAATCGTTGCTTGCCAAATAAATGTGAAGAACAAAGATCTTTGCATAGCTTCAGTATACGTTCCACCAAGAACCTCCATTAGCCGTAGTCAACTCTGGAATCTAGTTTCGATTCTTCCATCCCCAGTATTAATTCTGGGTGATATGAACTCCCATGGTACTGGGTGGGGCGATCTATATGACGACAATAGAGCGGCTATTTTTTACGATTTATGTGACGATTTCAATTTGACTATTTTGAACACTGGTGAAGCGACACGTATAGCAAAACCTCCGGCTCGAGAAAGCCGACTCGACCTATCTTTGTGTTCAAGATCGCTATCATTGGATTGTCAGTGGAAGGTTATCAATGATCCCCATGGTAGCGATCATTTGCCAATCATCATTTCAATAAAGTGTGGCCCTCACTCTGCAGAACCAGCTCGGGTTCCATTTGATCTTACAAGGAACATCGACTGGCAGAAATATGCAACGGCGGTGACAATCGGTGTCGAATCAATAGATGGGCTTCCACCATTGGAAGGATATCGATTCCTAGCCGATTTGATTTACGAAAGCTCACTGGAAGCACAAAAAAGAAAAGTTCCAAGTGCACCCTTTAAAAGGAGACCAGCCACACCTGGTTGGGACGAAGAATGCACAAAATTGTATGTAGAAAAATCGGATGCTTTCAAAGCTTTTCGTAGACACAAAACCTCCACTTACTTCGAGGAATATTCAAAGCTTGAGACAAAGCTGAAACAATTAATCGCGCGGTTATTGGCGCAATATCGTCGAGGGACTCTCACGAGAAACCTCAATGAACACCTTGTGGAGGGTGGCTCGCAACATGCATAACCGCTCATCTTTCAATGAGAGTGAAGAATACTCCAACCGATGGACATTCGTTTTCGCTAAAAAGGTCTGTCCGGACTCAGTTCCAGCACAAAATATTCTTCGAGAAGCGTCTCCTAGCGGCGGCTCTCTGGATAGACCATTCTCAATGCTGAATTTCTCTATGGCTCTTCTTTCATCGAACAACTCCTCACCGGGAAGCGATATGATTAAATTCAATCTTCTGAAAAATCTCCCAGATATCGCTAAAAGACGCTTGCTAGATTTATTCAATTCCTTGCTAGAAAACAATATTGTACCGCCTGAATGGAGATAGGTCAAAGTAATAGCCATTAAAAAACCTGGCAAATCAGCGTCTGACCATAACTCATACCGTCCGATTGCTATGCTTTCGTGCATTAGGAAATTGTTGGAGAAAATGATCCTTCGGAGACTCGATCACTGGGTCGAATCAAATAACTTGCTATCAAATACACAATTTGGGTTCCGCAAGAGCAAAGGAACAAACGATTGTCTAGCGCTGCTTTCCACAGATATTCAACTGGCCTTTGCACACAAGGAGCAATTGGCTTCAGTATTCTTGGATATTAAGGGGGCTTTTGATTCAGTTTCCATTGAAATTCTGTCAGACAATCTGCACAGATGTGGACTTTCTGGAATTTTAAATAATTTCTTGTACAATTTGTTGTCAGAAAAGCAAATGAACTTTTCTCTTGGACAACTGACAACTTCCAGAATTAGTTACATGGGCCTGCCCCAAGGCTCATGTCTCAGCCCTCTTCTTTATAACTTTTATGTCAAAGATATCGACAACTGTTTGGCAGAACAATGCACGCTAAGACAACTTGCAGATGACGGTGTGGTTTCCGTAAGAGGTCCACATGCCGTGGACTTGCAAGGACCATTGAAAAATTCCTTAGATAACTTGTCTTCTTGGGCTATGAATCCAGGGATCGAATTCTCGCCGCAGAAAACTGAACTGGTAGTGTTTACTCGAAAGCGGTACCCAGCCCAAATGCAGCTTAATCTTTTGGGCAGAAACATTACCCAATCATTGTCTTTCAAGTACCTTGGGGTCTGGTTTGATTCAAAGTGCACTTGGAATGCCCATATTACGTATTTGCCCATGGTGGAGTGCTCATCCGGGAGACCTCATAACGCTTTATAAAACAACAATTCTCTCTGTTCTAGAGTACGGCTCTTTCTGCTTTCTCTCGGCAAGAAAAAGTCACCTAATAAAATTGGAACGAATTCAATATCGTTGTCTGCGTATTGCTCTAGGCTGTATGCACTCAACGCATAACATGAGTCTCGAGGTTCTGGCAGGAGTAACACCCCTCCAGAACCGTTTCTGGGAGCTCTCTCTCAGAATACTAATCAAATGCGGAGTGACGAACACACTTATAATTGCTAATTTTGAAGAAATTCTTGGGCTGAACACACAATCTCGATTTATGAGAATCTACCACCACTACATATCATCAGATATGTGTCTTCCTTGTTATACTCCAGACCGTGTTCACTTCACCAATCGCAGTTCCTCAATTGAATATGATCTGACCATGAAACAAGCAACTCATGGGATTCCCGATCAACTTCGACCTATTATTATTCCGCGTATTTTTACTGAAAAGTACCAACAAGTCAATTGCATGAAAAGATATTTTACAGACGGGTCCCGTCTCAATGGATCCACTGGCTTCGGTGTCTTCAATGAAAACTCTAGCGCCTTCCGCAAACTTCAGGAACCTTGTTCCGTTTTTGTTGCTGAGCTGGCAGCAATCAACTTCGCATTGGGGATGATTTCCAACATGCCCACAGACCATTACTTCATCTTCACGGATAGTCTCAGTTCGATTGAGGCTATTCGGTCGATGAAACAAGGTAGGCACTCATCTTATTTCCTTTCAAAGGTAAGGGAGCAGATGTGTGTGCTGGTTGAAGGATCATATATGATTACCTTTGTATGGGTCCCCTCACATTGCTCAATCCCAGGCAATGAGAAGGCGGACTCTCTTGCAAAGGTGGGCGCGCAGGAAGGCGAATTTTATGACAGGCAAATTTCACACGATGAATTTTACCATTTAGTGCGTCAGAGTACCCTTTCGAGTTGGCATTGGGACAATGGAAATCTTGGACGGTGGTTACATTCAATTATTCCTAATGTTTCTTCGAGAGCGTGGTTTAAAGGCTTGGGCTTAAGTCGTGACTTCATTCGCGTGATGAGTAGACTTATGTCCAACCACTACTCGCTAGATGCTCATCTCAATAGAATAAACCTCGTGGACAGCAACATCTGTCGGTGTGGAAACGGTTACGATGACATCGAACACGCAGTTTGGCAATGTACGGATAATGACGCCGCCAGAGAGCGACTTTTGAATACCCTCGAGGCCCAAGGAAGACAACCCTATGTTCCTATCAGAGACGTGTTGGCAACCCGTGATCTCTGCTATATGCAGTCCGTTTATGTTTTTCTTCAAATGTCTAGTATAAGAATTTAATTCCTTTTGTCTTTTGTCTCTCTTTATTAGTTTTTGTTTGTCTTGTCCCCCCGTCTCGATGAGTCTCATCGTCGCCCACTGGTCTCCCACCATAGCCGATCGAACTCCGGACGAAGCTAGAACAGCACTACCGTTCATACTGGCGACAACGCTCTGATGAGACAACGAAACCCTACCCCAAGCTCCTCCCCTGATCCTATCCTTCGAAAATGTACCCTTCTAACCTCGAGTAAGCCGCGAGTAATCGGCCCAACTCCTACTAGACATAGAATTAAGTGAATTTTGTTACACACAGTGAACAATGAATTATCGGCTCCGTAAAGCTAACGCGATTGAGCCTTCCAAATAAACGAACTAGATAAAAAAAAACCCTATTCTGCCTAGGATCAAAGGTTTACCAAAGATTCACAAACCAGGAAACGAAATAAAGGAGATTATCTCACATTTTTTAAATTACTAGACTTAATGGGTATCAAGAAAAAACAATTCCTGTAATGTATATCTTTATAAAAATCTATTCATGTTTGTGAAAAACTGGTATAAATGTAAATACTCTTAAAAATATCTTAAAGATAAATTGTGTTGCTTAAACCCTTATGGGATTAGTACAGGGACCGTTTTCGTTTAGTATTAAAAAGGCACTGTTAAAACAGATGAAAGGGATATCAGTTTTATTGGATATTCATTTCTACTAGTCTATTAGCCTAAATCAATTAAAATATATTTGACAATAGTGCTCCAAAACATAACAAAACTTCCAGATAAAGTCCGAAACATATCTAGATAATCATAGGTTTTTATCTTCTTCTCATTGTTTGTTGCACTTAATTTTGAACCATAAATCTAGATGACGTTACCTGAAAAAATGTATTAAATATTCTTCCCGAATGAAAATAACTGAATGGTTGAGTATTGCGCCAGCGGGAAGTTAAAAGATGGCAACCATCATCTTGGTGTTGTTTCAGTGAGTTAAAATCATTAATATAGGTTTTGAGGAAAGCGATTAATTTCCTTCACTGTCACTGTCACTTTTTTCTGTTGATTAAAAAAACTCATGTATTGCTAAAAAAATCTTTCCAAACTTCTACTTTCAGCATACCTTTCTTGCCTGTGTAGGCGTGCCTTTTCAGTCTGTCGTACAGATCCTCCTTTGTTCCATACAAAGAAGCGTTTGATCGTGCTAAGGAATTCAGTTTCCCGTTTGTACCATGTAATCCTAAATTAGTGAATTTGCGTTAAATGTAGATCTGCCTTTAATTTAATTAACGTACACGTTTTACATACCTTCTTTCATATAACTTTCGTTATAAAAATTTGGCATTTCCCATCCATCCTCTTCATCATCATAGTAGTGTGCATATGTGCTGTGGTGAGAAGGAGCTATGCTTTCTGCATATGGTGTGTGGGCTCCATAGTAAAAGTTCACCTGAGAACCCGTTTGATCCGTTGCAGGCGAGAGTATTTTCTTGGGGTCACGTCGCTTGTTTGCTCTACAGTTAAATAATAATATTATATATACATGCAAAAGATTTACGAGATCAGCATGCTACTAACCTTGAACAAATCATCCAAATTAAAAGAACAATCAAAATGATGAATATTACTGTGGCTGCGATACCACCCGCAATGTAAGCAAACTCAGAGCGCTCAGTACACTTTGTGCCAGTGAATGATCCTTTGCAGCGACAGGAAGGAACTCCCTTGATGTCCTTCACGCATTGACCGGAATTCTCACAGAATCCATCGCATACATCTATAGTATAGAACATAGTACCATTATATCATTGAACAATCATTTAATTTATAAGATAAGCAGTACCTGTGCACTGCATTCCGGTTCCATTAAAACCTGGTTTACATTCACATTCGAAGTCGAAAGACTCTGGCATAAGAATACAGAATGCATTAGGATCACAATGCTGCAGTCCATCTGCTACATTTGCACATGGATTTATGCATTCGGCTTTGCTTGTCTGTAATAGGTTAGATGTTTTAAATTTCAAGTATTCTGCAATTGCTCATCATAATATTAACTTACAGCTGCATTCGTTTTTGTGCTATGATTTGGTGGACATGGTATACAGAAGGTCTGCTGTTTTTCAGGCTGGTAGAATCCTTTACCACATTCTACACAAATATTGACAGTTCCGTTGAGATAGGTTCCAGGAGCGCAAACTGGCAGAGAGCATTCTTCGATACTGGCAGCTCCAGCCTTTGGTGTTGTTCTTCCTAGAGGACAGGCAGCACAAGCCGGTTGTACACCCTGAGTTCTATAGGATCCTCGAGGACATGCTTCACATTTTCCATCAACTCCCAACTGCATGCCTGACTTGCACTCATCTCGGCACTCAGATTTCGACGTTGCTTCAGGAATCCTAGTCGTTTGTCCCAATCCACAGATTTCACACGAGAAAGAACCCTCGTTTGGTTGATAGAACCCATATCCACATGGTTGGCATAAGCCAGTATCAGTGTCCAAATATTTCCCAGTAGGACATCGTTCTACAAACACAAAATGCAATGAAATAATATTGCTCGATTGATTTCATCGAATATAATGAGGGTTCATAATACCTTTGCATTCAGCTGCAGATCGTGCTCCGGTAATAGAAGTGACACCGGATCGGCCAGCAATGTTAGGACAGCTTTTGCACTGTAGTTGGCCAATCTCCGATTGATATGATCCTCTTGGACAGGCGATGCATGTTTTGCTCGTAGTGTTGAAATACGTACCAACAGCGCACGGAACACAGTCTGGAACCTGTACCACTTGGCCAACTGGGCATGCGTAATCAGAATTCAGTACCAGAGATGCTGGATCAGCGAACGTATTGGGAAGTATGTCCTGTACATCAAACTGATCATCTTCAAGGATAAGCTTCTCGAGTAGAGAGCGCACATCTGATCTTTCGCCGCTCGAAGAATGTAACACAGGATCGCTAAGTGAAAATTGAAGATTAATCATTTGAATACACATAATTTCATGATAACTCCAGGCGAAAATAAAATGCACACAACATTTTCGAAATGCATGCAACACTTAATGTAGTCACAGTATTCAAGGAGAAGTAATTTATTTTTATCAACGTTCATTTAATACTTTTGCCTTAACATATCAAACCTAAATAGACTCAGGAAATTGTACCATGACAACAACAAAATGGTAGCTTGGCCTGGGCAATGTCACCACGATAAACACACGGATTACAAACATATTGATATCAATGAGATAATTTGCAGCTCTAACAGTGCCTGTATGACAGCGAGAATTGTTGATTCACATGAGCAGAATCGTATTCAATTCCATAAATATTCATAAAAACCCGAAAAGATTGCTCTCTATGAAGACCGCTACGATTTTGTAACAGTCATTATAGTAATTGTATTAATTTTAGACTTAGTGATAGTTCTTTTACCGATTTAAACCCAACAAAGTAAATCAAGTGCTGTACTATCAAAGCGTCATATGCATAACAAATGAGTGAATTTTGTTTTGATTGTATGAACAAAGTTCACTTTTGGCCCTTTTTTTTAACATAATCATTTCAATTATATTTTAATAAAAAAATAAAGAAACCCGTTTTGAACAAACTCGGGAATAGGATCAAGATAGCATTTTATTATTGATGATATTTGTGGTATGATGCTTCAAGAGCAGTAAGTAGTGATACAAAATAAAAATCATAGAGTTATCCAAAGAGTTTGGTAGGTGAAGTCTTCGCTACAAATTTACCAAATGGGTGAATATAATCTAAGAGTGAATTGAATTATAATGGTGATAAATCATGTTTTAAAATAACACATACTTAACCGCAGGAAATACCATCTCCAACGTATAGGTGTCGCCATTCTGTTGCCTACTTTGACGCGTTCTGTCTTCAGTGATAAATTGAGCACCATCTTTATTGCTGTTTAGGGCAATATAATTAAAACAGAGAAAGGGTTTCCAACTCAATTAAAAGGCATTTTTTTTTTAATTTATTAATTCTTGAAACGTTTCAGATTGTCTTGTTTTTTATCACCATCACCATACAAGTCGGAAATTGATGAGCCGGAAAAAGTGTTGAAACTTTGATGAATTTATTATTGATTTATTGTTAGTATTATTTTCCTTATAACTATTATTATTATTCATTAACGACACTTTACCATGATCGTGACACTCGTGTCGGGTTAATTTAATTGGTTAAATGCTTCTATGTAGAAATGATGTTAATTCTATTTCGATTAAATTGTTATTATTTTTTCATACGAGATTAATTGGCTAATAATCATATTTCCGTTTACTCTGAAATAATCAAATATATAAAAAAACAGCTTCAGTCTGCTAAAGAAGCTCATAAGTAAGGAAGAATCAATCATGTTTTTTTTTTGTTACATTTTAGTAACGATATGTTGTAGTTATTTTTGTGTATGGGATTCATTTTTTTTCATAACACCATGCCGCTATACACATAAGACATGTTCTATGCCAAATAGAATAGCCTTGTTACACCTCTAAACAAGGTTGCAAATACTCATTTCAGCTAAAAAAATGTTTTTTTTTAAATTATGAAATAATTAGATACTATGATCATATTTTGAATAGATAAGATACAAGATGAGGTTGCAAAGAATGTGTTTGACATATTAAACCTGTTTATTTACCTTCATGAAAGGCACAATCAGTAATTTTTAACACACTCACTCACTCACTCAGCGATCAGTAAATCGGTGATTGTGACTCATACAAAGCAAAATTTTCAGGTTTTATGTTTCAAACGCATACTGTGTAACCTCTTCTTGTAAGTTACAAGTAAAATATGTCATCATTCTATCTTTTGGTTTTATTATTCCGAAAAACATTATTTTAACTGAAATGAGTATTTCCAACCTTGCCTCTAAACATTGATTATGAACTTCATTTTCTCAGGAATCGAGTAGGCTGGCAAGTTTTTCAGTGTCTTCTTCAATTCTTTTCTACCCCATTTGGAACTTCACACCGGGAGTTCAGCTTCGAACCTGTTCGGATACGGTTGTGTATAAGTTTATTTCTGTTTTGTGCGTGCGTTCGCTGATTTTGCCAGATTAGCGCTGGCACTCTGCCTCCCGGACGTGTGTGATTGGTGGTTTTCTCGCTTTCCGAGAAGTTTTGGAATCGAAAAAGAAAACGTGATGCATCATGTTTGCAGGCATCAGAAGAAGTGTCGCTATCTGCGTTGTTTGTTTTTTTCTTCGCTTGTGCTCCCGGTACAGAAATTTGTGGCGTCGCGTGTGATAGTTTTTGATTTCAGTTTGTTTACGCGTTGTATGATTTTGTGAGCGGTCGCTTCGTGTTCGCGTCATGGAGCAATCGACTACATTCGACCAGAGGATTGATCCCCGTAGGGCGGGTCTATGATCGGAGCTACTACACCAAGCGTGACATAGCTGCTTGCAAGGGATTCAGTTGGACTGATTTGGTGAGATTGTTCCATTTTTCTACTTTTGTCTATTTAAACTGAATTTCTATGAATGCGTATCGTTTGGAATCATTTGATTCGGATGAGACTCTTAACTTTTATTTGTTTACATTGTGTTTCAATTGGTATTCTTAAGAACTTCACAAAATAAGGTTTCAATATTTAAATTGAGCAGATCGACTAGCCTGGTGGCTGCCGCTTTTGCTTACTGAGTAGAAGACCATCGGGGATCCACATTGTAAAGATTCCCTATTTTCAGCTTTTTTACAGGCTGGAGTTGTTGTTTGAACCATTTAGTTTATCAATTTAATTTATCTGTATAACAATTATTCACAAGCATTCTTCCAGGTCAATTCAAGAATAGTTTGATGATGATAAATCTTTCTAATATTCACATTACAGTTATGACCCGATCCTGTCAATCTCTCCGCGCATCAGACTGTTATTTTTCAATAATTCCACATAATTGTAATTTCATACCTTCCTCCTTCAAGATGAATGTTTAAGATACACATACTTGCTAGCTGACAAAATGGGGTCATTGCTGTATAATTATTCTCTTTTTGCAGCCTTCATTCAGACTGGATCTATTGATTTAAATTATTTGAGTTTTCTTCCAGCTCTTTGATGACGGAACATCACTAGATTTATACTGTAATGATTCACTCTTACAGCTTTCACCCTGGTTTTGTCTGTTGATTTGATTTGTTTGAATTGGTTTTCAGCTCTTTGGTGTTGGCAGTCGCGGGCGATCAATTTTGCTCATGCTCATGCTCTAAGTTCATTTTCAGCATTTCGATGATGGAACGTCTTCAGATTTATATTATAATGGGGCTTATTACGGATGTCACATCACGGTGAAAAGTTGTCACTTGTCGTCACGGTGAAGTGATTCCCATTTGATTTGTACGGTAATCATGGCTCTTATTCTGAGTATCACTTTCTTATCACCGTGTAGTGACACCCGTAATAAGGCCCAATGATACACCATTTGGTTTTGGCTTCGGGCAAATCCAAGTATAATGCATGATAACACTGATTCATTTAAAACCATGGTCGCATCACTTATCAAGGTGAATCCTGATCCAACGAACACAACTTACTAACAACATCTCTTTTTCTGTGTCTTTTGTTGGAAATTTCAGGGTTACATCTTCCTTATTGGGAGCTGAGGAGACATAGAGCTGCATCACAGACAAACAGACGTAACTCTTTGAAAAACTTGTTCTTGAAAACATAGTATCTCAAAACATATAACCTCAGTAACGACATCTCTCTGGCTTCTCGCGGAAAACAAGCTTGCTCGCTAACTCGTAAACAATATTGCATAAAAGTTCTATCGAATGTATGGAAACGTCAAAGTGATCCGATGCCAGCGCTGCGGCGAGTAGTTCGCGGAACTGATAATATTCAAATCAACCGTTAAATGCATGAACGAAGACACACAATGAAGAGTTACGTCTGTTTGTCTGTGGCTGCATCATATTGTATGTAAAATAATTATTATTTTCATTGCGGAATACCAGTTTTTTATCCATATAAATGTATTTTCATTATTACGTATTTTAATGTTCTGATATATCTCATTTCTCCATTACATATGTTTACTATATATATAAATAAATACTGGGTTGGGAGGGAGCATCAGGGTATCATTTGACCTGAAACTGGACGATTGGAGTGGTATGACAACCGGAGTCTAGGAGGGAATAAACACTATCATTTTCTTTATCCTACCGATTCGATTGTGATGGTGTGAATTCTACTCCAACAGTTTCAGTGAGATTGACGCGCCCTTCTTAACAAACCATCCTGTAGGAAGCTTAATAAGTATTGCGAATTGCGTTATTCGATTTGTTGGATCGTATCGTTGGAAGGAGATTCTTAAATTCCCGTGGATTTCGCGTAAGTGTCTCTGCTTACGGGTCCACCCCACCGTTTTTGGCCCTTCATACAGCGATATTGTGAATTCAGATCGGTAGCTCAAATTGATCTTGCTATTAAGTGGAGCTGCATACAAGACAAGATCTTCGAAGGGATGGTGGCTACCTTACATACATTTGGAACTTCACACCGGGCCTCAAATTAGTGTTCCATGAACACTGCCACAGTTGGTATTCAGAGCTCTCTATACCATTTTGTTCATTCGTACTATACACGCACAACTATACTCCCCACGGTGGGCGTTTAATTTTTACACCTGGACTATTGCTAGACTAGACCAGGAATCGAACTAACCACCTCCAGCAGACTTCCGATTTAGTTAGATGAAGAGGACTTCCATGTATTAAATTCCTTCTACAACACAGCATCACGCTCTGTAGAACTCCACAAAATAAACAGATGTTTATTTATTGGAATCATTCTTTTATTTTGTTTTTTATTTCTTCATCAACAGGCTTCTTAGCCCCAATGATGGATAAGTTGTTGCCAATGAACTAAGTTAATATACATTAAAACTACACATATGTTTCAAATTATCTAAAAACATTAAGAAATATAGCACGTAGCAGGTCACGCGAAGTTAAAATCAAATTGACTGGCAACCCGGTTGAAAACTCTCTCTATCCCAGTAATGGCACTGTTCATTCCGTAATTGGTGCGGTGAGGTTGAGGTCGTAGCATTGCATTGTTCCGTAGAGATCTTGGTCGCACATACAAGTTGATTCGTTGTAGGATTTCAGGACAATCAACTCGACCCAGCAAGACATCAGAAACCAGCATAGCCTTAGCAACGTCTCTTCATGTACTAAGTGTATCCAGACGAATTAGCTGACATCGGTGCTCGTTGTTTGGGAAACAAAATGGATCCCGCCATGGTAGTCGACGAAGTGCGAATCGAACAAACCGCCGTTGCACTGATTCTATTCTCTCAATTCCATTTTGGTAGTGAGTGCTCCAAACAGTCGAACAGTACTCCAATGTCGACCGAACTAATGCACAGTAGAGCGCCTTTAGACAATAAATGTCCGTCAAATCTTTTGTTAACCGGAAGATAAAGCCTAGAGATTTTGAAGCTTTATTCACTACGAACGACACGTGCTGCTTGAAGGTCAACTGGGAGCCGAGGATAATTCCCAAGTCCTTTTATTCGTTCACTCTTACCAGTGGTACTCCAGAAAATGAATAATCATGGAGTTTTGGATCTTTCAGTCGAGAAAACGTAATAACTGAGCATTTTGCAGAATTTACGGTCATACGATTCATCTGGCACCAATGAGCGAATGCATCAAGTTGTTGTTGCAGAAACTGAGCGTCAGCCTCAGAACGAATCTTGAAATATAGCTTGAAGTCAGCAAACGAAAGCCTTGGTCCATCCAGCACTGCATTGACATCGTTGAAGTATAAAAGGAGGATGAATGGTCCAAGATGACTTCCCTGCGGAATCCCTGACGTGATTGGAAATGAAGCTGAAGTGGATTCGCCGATGACTACTTGCGAGCGACGACCGTTCAAGTAGGACTGGAACCAATCCAAAAGAGTTCCATGAATTCCAAGCTTTTCAAGCTTCGGTACAGCAATTTGATGGTTGACCTTATCGAATGCTGCGGATAAGTCCAAATATAGTACATCCGTTTGTGCTCGTTCAAGCATACTGTCTGTTACGTAAGAAGTGAGACATAAAAGGTTTGACGCGGTTGAACGACCGGGAAGAAACCATGCTGGTCTAGGCTTAAAAATGGCTTGCAATGAAAGAATAATTGTTCCATCACAACAAGCTCAAAGAGTTTGGAAACAGCGCATAACGAGGATATTCCGCGATAATTATCAACATTCTTCCTATCGCCGTTTTTGTGTACAGGTACAGCAGGACGAAAACACTCCGGATGAAAGCGACAAGCTGAAGATCACTTGAAGTGGCTCGAGTAAGCTGTCAATGCAGTTATTCAAAAACAATGACGGAATTCCATTGGGACCTAAGCACGTTGACACTTTTAGTTTACGTGCAGCTGCCATAATCGCATCATTGTTGACAGTGACTTCAGGCATAGCTAGCCCTGAAGGCTGTGTGTTGCTAGATGCTGATGATATCTGTCTATCGGATGGCAATTCGTTAGAGAAAATCCTAGAAAACTTCGAGGCAAACATGTCACACATGGCTTGTGGTTCAGAGGCTACGGTCCCATTCCACTTCATTGAATAAGGCAGGTCACACTCGTTACATTGCTGTTTGACATAATCCCAGAAGGATTGTGGGTGGGATTTGAGTCTTCGTTGTAACCCCGTCTGATATCGAATATAACATCTCTTGCTTACGTGTTTATAGATTATGTTCAGCTTGACGTAGTGGTCACGCAGCGATACACTCCTGTTTTTCGAAAATCTTCTTAGGGCGGCTCTCTTTTGTCTTTTCAGCCTTCGGAGTTCGGGAGTGAGCCATGGGGTACGACCAACGGCTACCGTCTTCTTGGGAACATGTCAGTCGATCGCATATGAAAGAATATGACAGAATGTCTGTGCAGCTATGTTCACTTTGGTTCCGTCAAGAATGTTCTCCCAGTCTAGTGTCTCAAGAAGAAGAATGATGCTGTGATAGTCTGCATTCCTGAAATCGTAAATGACAGGAGATGGATTGACAGTGTCTTCCTTTACATTTCTTCTCTCGATATTGAGATGCAACGGTGTATGATGAGGTACGAACTTCACCAGCGGAGCTGGGGCCAACGTTATCGATGGGGCATTGTCATAGGAGCTAACAGAACATAAATCAAGGATTCTGTTGTTCTCGTTTACAGCATGATTAATCTGCTGGAGTGTAGCAGTGCTGTAGCTGTCCAGATTTGTGTGAATTTTTTTTACATAGGTTAAATCTCACAATGGGACAACTATTTTCATAAAATAATACCATGATGTGATCCTACTTATTTGAATGAAGAGAGTGGAGGGAAAGTTGTTAACTATCGATTTTAATCAAAAATTGAGATTTATACTGTAATTATGGCTTATTATTATAGCTCTTCAGTGACACTACTGTTTGTGTTTTTAATGTCATAGTTTGTTTGGGAAAAATTTTTATGGCGTAAATTTACAGTGCTGTTTCAAATAAAAGCAGTGCAAGCCAATTTCCATGTTAAATATTAGACAGGTTAGGTTATGGCTATACGTTCCTATTATGGTGTATTCCAATTATGCCTTTATAGCCATAACTGGTGCATATACACCATTATAGGAACGTTTAGCCATAGCAGGTACACCCAGTCTATACCAATTATAAATCAAACTAATAAAATTGCTATTATTTAAAAAAAAAAACTATCTTATATCTCTCTTCCGAACAAGTGCTAAAAAAAATTGGTATCTGAGGATTTTTTTAATTTAATGAAATTTTACCCATGCTTAGATCATGAATTATTTTAATCCCCGCACAGCAGCGTAGGTATTTCATTGTAACTACCCCCTTATTTGGCTGTTTTCTAATGTTTTCATGTCCAGTTTTTAATCATTAAGTTCAATAAAATTTTAAAATCTAGCATCAATCTAGATGCAAATTTAGCATCTTTCAAATTTTTATTGTCACATATTATTTGTTATGAAACATTGAAGCATTCCCTACGGAGCATTTAATCTTTTTATCGCTGTATAGATTTACTATCTTGCCCATGATTTTTTTAATTTGATGAGTGGAGCGAGGGCGAGCGTCCAGAAAAAGCTTTTAACGATAAAATGATCCTTAAAAATAATGCAAATAAAGTTATCCAATAAAAAATATGAAATATGCCATTAAAAATAACGTTCTTTATTGGCACATTTCATATTTTTATTGGACATTTTAGTATTTTTTAGGGAACATTTCATATATTTTTAAAGAAAATTGCATTTTTTATTAATATTGGATAAATACTTATATCAAAAATCAAAGAAAATTAGTTTTCCTGTGATGCTAAAGAAAATTGATGCGTAAATACATTTTTTTTCTATTTCAAACTTACCAAACTTTTTACCATCATGGTGTAGACAAAATATTTTTGCTCGTAGATTTTCTTGGATTTTCAATATAACTTTTCGTTATTAAAAAAAAACAAAAAATGTTTATTTTTCACCGGTGGCTGTATGCTTCGCGTAACTCTAGCGTGAAATTTCAAAAGCACAAATGTCAGTTTCCACAAAACATATAAATATGAATTTGCTATTCTTTGTTTGCTGCGTTACTACAAACAGAGCGTACCGATTACACAATTTTATGTTTTGTGACTTTGAAAAATTAATTTTTTATGTGTTTTGGGCTTATGGTGCTCTTCCCTAGAAGCACCCTTGTTATAAATTGGTCTTGGAAACTTATATACGACTTATTTCCGGTATAAACAAGTTGCTGCAACTTTTGGGACAGAATTGTGTTACTTGGGTTGTCATCCATTCCAATTTTTCATTTGGAAATTAAATTTTCATATTTAATATTTCATCGAACGTTTTTGCCTATTTAAAACTTTTGAATTTTCCACTGAATGTTTTAAATTTATTACCGATTATTAATTTAAAAGTAACCGATTCACTACAAACCAGATCAAAATGCCAGTATCATTCCAATACATATAATAGCAGTCAGAATAACCAACCCAAATATAGATAATTTCACTATTAGACGCTATGAAAAATTGTCAAACTTTAGAAAACAACACATACGGCGTGACTTTTGACAAATAATTCACGAGTTTCAAATGCTCGATATGACGGAAATGTACGCTCATGTCGAAGTAGTTCCTACCCTACTACAGATATGTTGGTTTTGGAAAGTTTTGTGATGTAAAATAAATATCACGTTTTATAAATAAAACGTGAAATAGGTTTTTGTTTTGAATCAGTGTAGTCGTAATATTTTCATTTAATATTTAAAATTACTATATAAGACGTTGATACGATAGTGATAAAGGTCATCTCAGGTTATATAAGGAAATTAAACATATGGTTAGTGATTGATTCAGTGTAGCAGAAGCCCGATGATTAACAATTTATGAGTACAATGTAATATCAAATATAGTAATAACTGGTAGCCATAACATTCATTCCAGTTCAAAAAACGTGAAACTTACCCTGTGATAGGAATACTGGCATCCATAACGTATGTGCTCACATCTTGTTTGGCAGGTTGATTAACAGCTTGGCGTTTCACGATATCGTTTGAGTGGCGATAACGATCACATTTGACATTTATTTGAAGCTCTTTGCATTCACGTGATCCTTCGTTTGAATATGAGCAGAAGTTCCAATCTCTATTCAAAGAGTTTACAGCATTTTTTACTTTTTGACGGAGCACTCCTTGCCCTGCTTCATTACATAGAACGTCGGATGGGAATAACATTTGGATTCTGAAAATGCGTTGAGCAGGTCGTGCAGGCGAACATGATGGATACACAAGTGGTGTTGACGGATCTTCAGTTGGTCGCCAGAATCCTTCCGCACCACACGTATAAAATTCAGGAACGGTTTCCGAAAACTTCATGCCAGGGTTACAAGCAATTGAACATACCTTGAACTGTCCACCGGCACCCCAGTCTTTGCAGTTTTGCGATCCTCCGATAGGATCAGGCAATGGCGGGCAGAAATCTGATAATAATGTCACCTTGAAACTACAACTAGCTGTGTTTCCAGCGGCATCATAAGCAATATACGTGATATCATAACTGCCCCAAAGGAAACTCTGTCCAGAACGTCGACCATTTCGTTCAATTATTTTCGTTACACCAACATTATCACTGAAATGGGGTTCATCCCAATTAACAATTGAAGAACCGTTCCTGGCAATTATCCACAAATCATCCGGACAGTGTTCAACCTTGGGTGCTTCCTTATCATGTTCCAACTGTTTACATTGAGCTCCTGTGTAACCAGATTTACATTTCCTTCTGCCACATGACGAAGGAACAGATCTTTCTACACCACCAGTGCTATTTTCATATCCAGCCCAGTTCAAAATCAAATTTTTGTACAGAACAGGTTCACTACGGCAGTCTCTGACTTGCTTCTGAATTTCCGACGAAACATCTAATGCTCTACTCCAAATCTGGACCTTAGTAATTTTTCCTTGGAAGCCAGCTTCGTTGTAAGCAACAGAGTTGGTTTCATTTGGTTTTAATGCAGGACGACCAAGGACTGACCAAGCACTGAAAATAAATGATATAGTTAGTTATAGATAGTACCGTAATGCACAAAATATCGAACGGTTCGATTATTAAGACCCTTTTTTTAATTTCATAGATGTAGCTCTACTTTGCAACTTAATAAATAAGCGTGATGATTTTCAAAGATAATCCATTTCCATTTTCAAATAAACCTGCAAGAATAGCAAACTTATTTCTGACTGACGAGAAATCCGTTTTGACAGACACGAAAATCGTCCGACCAACAGCAGAGTTTTCGAACATTCTAATTTATTTTTGAAGTCTCAAATTTAAGAGAAAATTTACCAAATGTAACATAGCTTCAACTTGATAAAGTGTCAAGATTTGCGGACCAAGTATCCTTTTCGAGCCTTTGCGGTAATAGTAATGGATAGATTTCTGAAACTTTTTCAACACTGATAATACTTACTAAGCAGGCAATGTACGTCCAGCACCGTATTCAGTACGACCGGCAATCAATCCTTCGGTGATGAGCTGAAGTTGACCAGTCTTTCCATCCCATACAACTGCTACGTGATGCCACTGGCCGTCGTTGATTGTGGTGTACTCTCTGAATGCCAGGAAAGCATCCTGTATGTCTGCAAACAGTGACACTTGAACACCACTTGAGTGAGCTTGCAGGATAACACGTCTTTCCACAACATCGTGCGCGGAACTGGAATTTTAGGTAGTATCAATTAATTATAATGGCTAATATATGTTATGCTTAACTAGCTACACTTACTCAACAGCGTAGAAAGTAGCAAATATGCCCGTATCATCCTTCTGAGCAAACTGTACCCACAATGCAATTGTGAAACTATCGGGTGAACCCGTGTAGAACGGAACCTCTTGTGCAGCTGATGATCGCGTTGGATCACTGAAGTACAAGTCATAATCTACCTGAATTGCTGAAATATAAATGAAAAACGTTAATCAATCTAACATCATGAGCAACACTGAATATACGAACTTTTTCTACAATCATCTCCAGTCAAGTTGAAGGGACATTGACAGTAGAAACCTTCTGTTAAGTCAATGCATGTTGCTCCTGGTGGACATGAGTTGTCTTTACAGTCAATGATGTCTTGGTCACAATTTTCACCAGTGAACCCAGCAGGACAAACACATTTGTATCCACTTCCATGGTCCACACAGGTTGCACCGTTTTTGCAAACTTTCGCTTCGCATGCATCGTATTCATATTGACATCCAACTCCAGCGTAGTCCATGGAACAAGAACAGTTCAATCCAGATCCATAGTCCTTACATTGTCCTCCATTCATGCACGGGTTACCGATACATCTGTCTGGTGCAGTTTCACACTGTTTGCCATCTGTTCCACTTGGACATACACAGAAGTAGTCTTCAAACAAATCAACACAACGAGCATCATTTTTACATGGATGTGCTGGTTCACATGATTCGATCAAGTGTTCACAACGATAACCGCTCCAACCAGCTGGGCATTCGCATTCATAAACTCCAACACGATCCTGGCATACGCCTCCGTTGAGACATGGTGCATCTTCACAATCATCAATATCAGTCTCACACAGTGCTCCTGTATATCCATCCCTACATTGGCAGACAAAGGTGTTGTCCTTATCGAGGCATCGGTCAGTTCCAGTGGGATTGCATGGATCACTTAAGCATTCATCAATCTCAGTTTCACACTGTAATCCAACGAACCCTGGTCGACATTTACATTGGAATCCATCAAGTTGGTCGACACATGTTGCACTGTTTTGACATGGGTTACTAGCGCAATCATCGATGAAATGCTGACAATTCTTGCCTGTGTAACCAGGTTCGCAACTACACTGATATCCATCGATCAAATCTATACAATCACCGTTGTTTTGGCATGGATCGCTTGCACAATCGTTTATATTGATGTTACAGGATTCTCCTGTCCAGCCTGGCAGGCACACACATTCGTGATAAAAGAATCTATCAATACACATGCCATGATTGCAAGGTTCCGATAGACACAAGTCTATCTTCTCTTGACACCGCTTACCAGTGAATCCATTGGGACATACACAGGCAAAATCATTTATTAAGTCCGTACAGTTTGCTCCTAACAGACATGGATTTTCTGCACAATCATCTGTGTTAGTTTCACAAAGCTGACCTTCCCAGCCTGGTAGACATTCACATTTGAAACGGCCCTGTTGAAGTGCAACACACGATGCGTCATTCTTGCAAGGATTACCATTCGCTGTACATGGATCTATCGTTATATCACATTCTTCTCCAGTGTATCCACTGCGGCACAAGCAAGTGAAATTATTATAACCAGGTTCATCCTTACACATGGCTCTCGAAGGACACGTGTCGTTACCGCAATCGCTTTTCTCTGCTTGACAATTGATACCAGAGTAGCCTTGAGCACAGGTACATTTATAACCTTGAGGATGATCTTTGCACGTACCTCCATTATAACACGGTTGAGATGCGCATTCGTCAATATCAATCTCACAACGTCTACCAGAAAAGCCTGCTGGACAGAAACATTGTATTTCATGACCCATTGGCACACATAGGCCTCCATGTTGACAAGAATTCTCATTGCACATTACTGGTTTGCATTCTTCGCGTCCTGTTGCACCAGATCCATCCGTTTTCATTCCCGTTTGACATTCATTACAGGTCAACATTCCCTCAATATTTTGATAGAAATTCTTCGGACATGGCGAGCACGGTGCAAGTCCAGTTGGTGAATATTGCCCAGGTGAACACTTTTTGCGACACTGATCATTGGATTGAGCGGCAGGTTGGAATGTAAAAGTGCTTGTGGGACAAGCCTGACAATCTTTGAATCCACCGGTAGGTGGCTCACTAGAGAATGAATGGATAGGACATTCCAGACATGGAACTAAACCGGTTGGAGAATAAGTTCCATAACCGCATACAGGTACACAAGCAGCAACGTTCTTTGACCCATCTTCTCTAGTGTACGTTCCAGATGGACATCTTAGGCATGATTCTTGGCGTTCCCTATTTTGGTAGTATCCTTTTGGACATGGAGTGCATGTTTTCTGATTTTCTCCAGCATACGTTCCAGCAGGACAATGTAAGCACCGTGGAACATCGCTAGTGTCCATATTCAAAACTTCTCCGGCTGAACAAGTAAAACCTCGTAATATGGAGCTCTTCAATGCTCTAAGTGGAGGGCATTGATTACCAATAGCAGATACATTAGATATTGGTTCAATAACAGCACTTGCATACGGCACACTTAGGTCAAAGATCAATTGCAGTGTGGATCCACAAAGATCATATAATTGAGGTTGTTTGATGGCAGGAACGATAGACAGAATAAAGTCTATTTGGATCATGTTTTCCTCCAGTAGCTTAGGAACCGATTTGATAAACGATACATTCATATTTACATTAACTGCAGAGCAACGTTGTGACAAAATATTGTTCAGATTTGGATAATATTTGCCAAGCATTTCTTGATACTGTAGTAAACAAGACGAAGCTACAGCACCATTAGCCCTGTATATTGTTGTAGCAGTAACGTGATAGTCAGCTTGTTGAGTGTTTTCAGAAACACAGTCAGGAACAACTGATGATGGCTTCCATAACCGTTTAGTTTCACATGAAAAATTCTTGACAGTATCTTCATCTGTAAATCGGAATCCTGGTTTACACGTTGCGGTACAGTCAATTCCTTTGTCGGTGGACTTGCAGTTAATATCTCCATTGTTTGGAGGCTGCAAGTCCCAGTCGACACATTGTGTTGCTTGTACTGACACCTGGAAGTTGCATGTTGCCTTATTGTTGAACCTATCGGTGGCAACTACAGTGACATTTTCAAATCCTCCAATTGGAATAGTAGCACTTTCAGGAATGTACTTAATAGTAACGTCATCAGAGTTATCCGAAACTTTAATACGTTTTCTCGTGTCGTTGAAATTTACTACGTAACTATCCTGCTTGTCAACTAACTCTATGACAAAGCTTTGCGGACAACTCAAAGATGGCGGAGTAATATCAGGTACGGTGATGTTGATTTCGCAAATAGCAACATTGCCATCGTAATCGAATGCTACATACTTTACTATAGTGTCTTGGAAAATATAAGATGGAGTCTTGAAGCTTTGAGGTTTCACTTCTAGCCTTGCAATTGATCCTGAGTTATCGATGGCCACGGGTTCTGTAAAGTTTACTGGTAGAATAGCTCCATTTTGATCACGTTTCACGATTATTGGCTGTTGAGGACAGTTTTGGAATACTGGTGGCTCATTATCTACACAAGGTGAATATCCATAATCATAACCCAGCAATGGATCAGCTGTTGGTTCATCACAGCCCATAAGTTCAAACTTCAAGCATGCGTTGTCCATATAGCTTACAATACCCAAAATGACGAATCGTGCCTGAACAAATTTCGGTAGAGTAATCATCGCTAACTCTCCATAGTTTCCTGGATCGCGCATTGTTAGATTGAAGTTAGGGAAGTACACGACATAGTTCTCATTTTCCGCCTGTTTATAGAAGAATCGAATCTCTGTGGGCCTTCCAACGATATCGTTTGTCACTACACCTTTGACAAGGATGGCTTTAATGCGATTTACTTTTCCTAAGTCTACACTAACATATGTAAAAGCTTCCTGTTTTCCGCACCATCCGGTAACGGAATTCAAACGGATGTTCTTTGCCTCATAGTTTGGTCTTTCTGAAGTTGCATTGATTGCATGATCTGGTATCTTACCGGAAGATAGCCCCAAAGGTTTGATTACCTTACATTCCGGTTCTCTGATACAAGTAATCGGTCTAGGATTAATAAGTATATAACCGGGCCTTGAACATCCAAACAACACCTCGGAACCTTGTTCATAACTCTTGGTGATCTGATACCCATCATTAGGTCTTCCCGGGTCATCACAGACAGGTCCTTCACAACGTAAATCACCAAAGTCCCACACACCATTCTCCATACACCTAACAACATTATCATTTCTAGAACTTTGTCCAGCCAATTTAAATGTATTTTGACAACCAAAGAAGAAAGAGCTCTGGTATCTGGTATCTCCTCTTTGTCCGTATTCTGCACCTGGTGTAGGCATCGGTTCTCCGCAGTCTACTCGTGGACATGATGGAAGAGTTCCGGAAAGCCAGTAATCAGGATAACCTGGTTTTGGATCGTAAACACACTGTCTGAATCCAGCAGAAATTGAATTTCGTAGATTGCGACCGGGAGAACTGCAAGTCAGTGTAACATTTTCTCGGAACGGTACTAATATACTGTCTTTATCTTGACGAAGCACTGCAAGTCCTTCGTTTTTGTCATCAGGTAGAGAGACACATTTTGCATCTTTAAAGTAAGAAAAACGAAATATCGAAGTAGTAAGCGATATAAAAGTTATCTGTTAAATAATTAAATAAATCAATTTAGAAACTTACATATACATTCTGGTACGGTGGCGTTCCACTCTCCAGTTGACATACATAGCAACGAAGTGCTTCCCGAAATGACGTATCCAAAACTACATTGGAACTGAACAACATCACCGAAATGATGATCGGTTTTGTCCGTTAGCAAATTGCCATTTTCAGGTGCACTTAGAACGGGGCACATCATCGGCACACAGGTTTTGTTCCGTTGATACACATCTGCATCGCGTTCGCCACTCTCGGAGTTTTCAATAGTAAATCTGATGGTAATGCAGAGGTTAGAATGGCAAACGTTACAAATTTGCTACCACATAAGTCTTACCCTGCTGTTCCATTGCTGATAAAAAGCTCATAGCCCGTATTGCATCCACACGAGTACGATCCTGGTGAGTTGATACACTTTTGTCTACAGCCACCATTCTTGTTTGAACACTCATTAATATCAATACAATCGATCCTTGTGCAGCCCATTACTTCTAATTTCAAGCACGGAGCTATCATAAAATCTTGAAGTCTAAATCTCACATATCGTGACTCAATCGGTATTGGTAGATTGAGAATAGATAGTGTGGGTTCTAGGATTCTAAATTCTACAGCTGTGCCATCAGGGTTCGCATAATCTTTGAACACATCAGTTATATCATTTGTATATTGAATACGAATAGCAGAAGTGAAAGCTAAGCTGCCATCGAATCGCTGTACTGACATAGTACGGAAACCTCTCATGATTGTTGGGGCTTTGAAATCAAGCAGTACCCAGTTGGCACCTGGATCCATAGAATTTCCACACCAACCAGCTGAATTCAGTCTCAACATCTGTAAATAGTAGAATTATGAGTTTAACTTGTTGATAAAAGCTAATAATATACGTTATTTCTTACCGACTTATCATACCCATCCTCAGTTGAAGATACGGATATGCTGTTATCGGAGACTCCACCAGTTGCTAAACCTAAGTCACCAACTGGTCTACACTCAGTGGACGCTGAGAAACCTGCTTTGCACTGGCAGTAGAATGATCCTGGTGTATTTACACATTCCGTAGATGCTAAATCGCATGGAGATGCTATGCATTCGTTGATATCTATTAAAAATACATGATTAGTGCCTTTAAAGTTCAAATAGTCTCATTAATTTTACCTTCACATGTTGGCAATGTATCGAATTCTTGATCAGCGCTGCATTTAACTATATTGGAACCAATCTGCTTATAACCTTTATAGCACTGAATACGTGCCTCATCACCGAAGAAATACTGACGAGTTCTATCCACAAAGAATCCATTTTCAATTTCTGGATAACTGGAAATAAATTAAAAGCAGTGTCGTTGAAATAGAACTTCAAACTTGATTATTCAGAAATTACTTAAAGCATCGCTTCCGAGTGCATGTAGGGACGAGACTACTCCAAGTTCCGTTCGACATGCAATTAAGCACAGGTTGACCGTTGCGCTGATAACCAGATTCGCATTCGTATCTGACGATTGTGCCGTAGCTGCGTCCACCTCCATTCAGAATGGTAACATTTGCGTGAGGAACTTCTTGCAGTAGTGGACATTGTGATGCTAAGCATGAGGGTTGTCGTTCCCAATTACCATCAGCCAAGCAGGAAATCTTTTCAATGGCATTGCCCGAAGCAAACGCAAATCCGGCATAGCATTGATACATTGCAAGACCACGGTATGTCACGTTTGAAGATCCAATCGAAAATCCGTTATCAATCTGAGGAACTGGACCACAGTATACCTCTATAATATATTAATAGTTACACTCTCTGAATCCAAATCGATTAAAAATTTATGTATGTTTTTATCTACCTTGACACTTGGGAATGTAGTCAACGCTCCAAGTTCCTCCGTTTTGACATTTCGTTACAATCTTGTTTTTGCCAGTTGCGAATTCTTGACCGATTGGGCATGTGAAAGTAATGATAGTCCCAAAAGCTGTATCGCGACTAGATGCTAGGGCTCCAAACCCAGGTTTTAAATCTGGACAATCCGCAGAAAATTGTGCTAACCATCTGGGAAATGATAGTCACATAAATTATTCAAGAAAACCCAATAAAATAACAGTATCTTACCCCTTGTCGTTATGTAAGGCATCAGTAATAAATTTTACTAGAATATTTCCTGAGGACGCTGTAAGTGTGATTTTTGGCACTGTATTTCCTGTGAAACCAAAATCAGGATGAAGACGCAGACCAGATGTGGAAGAGCCATCGAAAATCTGAACTTTATCGCTTTTGTGCACTTTAAAGTTTTTGAACCGTAAAGAAAGCGGGCCACCCATGGGGTTCTTGATCTTAAAAAAACATTCTTGATTATTAGGGTAGTTTGACAGATCATAAGCAGGAGAAGTAACAGTGCCGTTCAAAGCTGTTATAGTTGCTGCACATCCTTGTGTATACTTCATGCTGAATCCTTTTTTAGAGCCTCCGAGAGATGTTTTGAAAAATACGTATAATTGGTTGCCCGTAGAAATTATTACTCTATTACGATCGTTCAATGATGTACCAGTTAAACGGGTAATTGGTTTACTATGGGCATTATCTCCATCACGAATGAGAATAAAATCGCGATCTTCATTTAAGTTTAGATCATCAACTTCTAGTGAAATCACTCGGCCGTTCTGGGCTTTTATTATATATAAGCATTCAAGTCCACCTGGGTATGTTTTTGGATAACCTGGGCTATTCAGCATCTGCGCTTGGGTAGTTGCCTGCAACTTGCCTCCACATGTCTGAGGCTCAGTTTTCCATGTTGCTCTAAAACCTTTACGCTCAACGCTTCCGTCAGACGTAAATTTGATAATCATGAAATTTGACGCAGTGATGAATGGTTTACTGGTTAAATCGTTCTTACCAGACAGTGTGGCCAGCGACACCGCTTTGTTTTCAGTTCGACCTCCGACTAAAATCTGAACGATATCAAAGTTTTTTTCAGTATCAAATTCTTGGAATTGCAAAATTATGTTCGTGCCCTGAGGTCCTTCCAGTGTCCACTTACACCCTGCCAATGCTGGATACTTTTGAGGAAAATTTGGTGATTCAATAACATCTCCACCCGATTGCATGTGGAAATGACACGCGTTTGGACAGTCCAGCTCATCACTTCCATCTCCACAGTCATCATTTCCATCGCATTTGAATGCCTGGTTTATACAAGCCCCATTAGAGCATCGGACTGAATTTTGGGGACATGCAGGCCTTTTGCACATAAATGGCAACAAATTTTCACACGTTTCTAACTGCCAGGACTGCATGCTATTTACGTTTGAAGCCGCAACACATTCTCCAGCTGCAGGATCGGGTTGATTCAGAGCCCAAAATCCTGAATATTGCGAAACTAGTCCCCCTGCTGTAGATTCTAGTGTGTTTGTTCTGAGGTCATCTAATGAAGCAAGACCTAACCAATACATATTCGCCGTTCGTCCTCTAGACTCGCCAAAAAGAGCAATTTCTCTTGTTGCTTCATTCTCCTCAAACGATTCGATAGTTGCGAGCTCAGCACCATATCTATTATAAATGTAAAAATTTCAATCATAGAAATACAAGTGCAATTTAAGAATAAGCTACCGTTTACAAAGCTCAGCTGATTTTTCCCATGAGTGTTTTACACTAAAATATTTGTAGCAATTCAGCGCTCTCAGTTCCCAACCTATCGAACACGAAAATGGGTCCTGCGTAAAATATAATTTGAAGATCATATTTAAGTTTATCAAATTATTAATTGACATACCTCTGCTAATACTGTAATAAATACTGAAGCTAACAATATTATCTTATGTGCTACATGCCTAGCCATCCTTTATGTCTGAAAAGAAATAAACAAGAGAAAATGCAAGGTTAACTAACATTTTTTTAAATAATAATAAGCAACTGTTCCAAGCGTTAGGCGGGATTGATATTCAAAAAGCTGACACAAAAGGTGATCAGTCATTTGGGATACATCGGAAAATTGCACAAAAGGTCCTGCCTACAAACCACGGGGACATTTTTAGAGATTCTAAGCAGACAACTGAACAAGAAAGGAAGGATGAATGTGAAGAAGGAAAACATATAACAGGATGAAGATCAAAAAAGGTGAACTACACAATTAGAAATAACTAATTTTACACGGGACGGAATCCGTCTTTGACATAAAAGATGAGGCGTAAACAAACATGTCATGAGTGCTCCGAGACTGAAAAGTTCGTTGCTCGACGAAAAGTACGTTTGATTTAAATAAGTTTGATTGATCCTTGTTTGGATCCTTGATTCGCGTCTGTTATGACTCAAATTTATGTCAAAATTGTCGCTCGTATGTGTGAGGGACCTTTCTAAGTGAGTAGGCGGAGAAAATTTATACTGTCATGTAAAGAAGGTGAAGCTAATGAAGAACGAAAAACGGATAGCGGATGGAAAGCATAATGAGAAACAACGTGAATTGTTGCGGTGCCGGTTGTGTAGTGGTAAGCGTGATTGCCTCTCACCCCAGCAGGCCTGGGTTCAATCCCAGTCGGCGCCACCGGGATGTTCTGAGGCATAACATCTCTGAACACGCCTTCCTTCGGAAGAGAAGTAAAGCCGTTGGTCCCCGGTTCATGATTTGATGGTCGATATGTAGGGTCCAGGTGTGGGAGCTGCCTCCCTAGCGTCGGTAGCAAGGCGTGATCAGAGATGTTATGCCTCAGAACATCCCGGTGGCGCCGACTGGGATTGGACCCAGGCCTGCTGGAGTGAGAGGTAATCACTCTTACCACTACACCACCGGTGCCGCTACCGAAGGAAAAGACATTAAAACGTAGGAGCGGAAAACAAGGCAATGGAAATAAAGAAGGATGAAGGAATGAAGAAAATAAACAGAACCATGGAAAGAACAAAGAAGAAAATAGATCAAAGAGTGGATTTAGAAGAATACCAAGAACCAACAAAATATCAGAAGAAGTGAAGAAGATACAAGAAGACGTATACGATACGCAGTTAATTCAGCAATGGAGAAGATGAAGCAGACCTGTCAACAAAATGTCAAGATAAGAGAATTAAAAAAGAATTATCACAATTCATATGACATGATGTATAGCATAGCATAGCATAGCATATGCGATTGTACAAATCGTGGGTGGCTATATAATGGTCAACTAATACGTTTTGCAGAAAATATCGAGTGTTGACGCAGAAAATATCACTTGGGATTAGTGATTTTCCCCACACGAAAATAAAATCTACAATACAAGCATCGCATTATACACCTGGCCACATCCTTACAATCGCATGGGAAGGGAGGGAAAGTTAATCCAACATCTACTTAAGAAGGTGCAGGGAACCCATACTACCTTCATAGGTGTCACAGGAAGGAAAGAGTTGTGTTAGTGGGAGGGTGAATGATTTGGCAACTCTATTCGTCAATATAGAGCATTTGATAAATCAGTGACAAAAAATAAAATATAAATTAATATGACATGATGCAAGCATGCAAAATGTCAAGAATTATCACAATTCATATGACATGATGCAAGCATACAAAATGTCAATAATTAAAATAAAGTTAAGGGTTCTGTACAAAGCACGACCGCATTGTTGACGTAGAACTACGAGACTATTTTGTTGTTCCATTTAATATTTAATAATTATATAAATACTCTCAGATTTTTTTTAAGTTCTCATAAAAACTCTCTTTACGTTTTTCTCGGAATTTATTAAAAAATATTCATTAGAAATTACCCTATAATCCTCTTTACAATCGTCATGTTATTTCACACAGAACCAACTCATAATTTTACTTTAAACTTAAACAATTGACTTGGCGTTGTAGTAACTCTATAAAAATACTTCTAAGAACTCTATTGGAATTTGTATCTTACATACATTATTATCTCTAGAATCCATCTCACTGCGTCCTAGCAAGAAGTACGGTCGACTTGTTTCGCGCTCCGTTGTTTTGGAAGTTTTCTCGGTATTCGCTTGATATAAATTATCAGTTTTTTTTCTCACTAAGTGACTCCTGGCATAGTTCCCGGTAAATTGATCGAAAAGTGAGTTTTTTTTAGTAGAAAGTGTCATTTTCGGAAAGAGTAATCCGTGCTATTGGAAATTCGCGAACCAATTTGGGCATCATCGTTGCGTGGTCACGCATACGCGCTTACGCATACCCACGCACGTATCATCATCATCGAGTGTGAGCACCCGTTTCTACATCTTCATCGTTCATCAATCATCGTGCGCCTGTGTGCGCTGAGTGCCGCGCCTCGATCAAGTGCACCACAGCGAAGGTCATCCACGCTGCGCGTCGCTTCCCAGTCATCTGTGTAAACGCCTACACATATAACACTCGGTGGTAGTAGTATAGGATTATCAGATAAGTTTTTTTTTTTTTTTGTTTCTTTTCCTCCCCCATTAGGTAAATTTTCATTTTGTATTTCTGTGTTTGTACTGTTTTCTGTGTATTGTGTCTGTGCGTTCAGTGGGAGAGCATTTTGCGCTCCCACTAGTTGAACAAAATGGATGTTTTGTCAGAAGACGACATGGATGACCATTCATCTAAGAAAAATGATGATGTCATCCATGGTTCGTCGTCTCAGTCTGACAATGGGCAGGCTGAGAAAAGCTCCAGATTGCGGGCCTACCCGAATGACTCGACTGGCCCATGGGTTGTCTATTTTCAGCCCAAAAACAAACCCTTGAATGTTGTTCAGATATCTGATGATCTGACAAAGCGATTCTCTGCCGTGACCGAAATAACGAAGGTTAGGCACAACAAACTTCGTGTGACCGTCGCTAACCTGAAACAGGCCAATGAAATTGCTGTTTCCCAGTTTTTCACACTGGAATATAGGGTGTACATTAGACTGATGCAAATTTTGACATTTTCGCTCCACAGTGCCCAAACGATTCCAAATTGGGTCCTGATTAGTCTCCCAAAATTTGAACTGATTTGATAAGAAACTGACTTCGCACAAACCATTTGAAGTTTATATGGAAATTACTATAGAAAAACCAAATGTTTTGTACATATCCATCTAACAATTTACCATATCGCTCTGCTTTAAAAAATGATAACTGTACTCGTAGAAAATTTTTTCAGCTACAACTTTGTCCTGAATCACTTTTCAATATAATGTAAACATCAAAAATTAACAATAATTCAAACCACTAATGTCTTACGATTATGCTCAATCAACTGTTCAGCAGGCAACATTGGTGTTTCTGGCGCTTGGAATAGAGCACAAAAATCATGGCTACTATGTCACACTGCAAGATACAGTGTTGCTCACAAAACAGTTGCTTGATCATGCCATAAGATTATCAATCTCTTAAACAATTAATAACTATTTTATTTGACGTTTGGCTCAAGAACTATGTTCTGCTAACTTGAAGCTAAGAAAATTTTCCATAAGTATAGCTTTTAAATTTTTGAACAGTGCCATATGGAAAAAGGTAAGAAGACAATGAACAAAAAGTTTGGATTTCCCATAGTAATTTCCATATAAACTTCAAATGGTTTGTGCCAAGTCAGTTTCTTTTCAAATGAGTTCAAATTTTGGGAGACTAATCATTACCCGGTTTGAAACCGTTTGAGCACTGTGGAGCAAAAATGTCAAAATTTGCATCAGTCTAGTGTACATTCCAGCCTCTGATGTGGAGATCGAAGGCGTGGTCACTGAGGCGAGCCTGAACCCCGAGATACTGGAGAAGCAAGCGGTTGGCCGATTTAAGAAACCCTTGCTTCCTCCGGTAAAGATACTGGCCGTTCATAGAATGAAGTCAGTATCGCTCAGCGAGGGTAAAAAGAGTTTTACCCCCACAGACTCGTTTCGGGTGACCTTTTCTGGATCTGCCCTTCCTCAATACATCGAGCTGGGAAAACTTCGTCTTCCTGTGCGGTTGTTTGTACCTCGGGTCATGAACTACCAGAATTGTAAGCGGTTGGGACATACGGCCTCCCACTGCGGCAACAAGGCACGCTGCTCCACATGCGGGGAGAAGCATGAGGATGGCGCCTGCGCAGCTACTGCACCAAAATGCGTGTACTGCAACGGAACTCCTCCTCATGCTCTCTCGTCGTGCCCGGCGTACAAACAGCTCGGGGACAAAATGAAACGCTCCCTCAAGGAACGTTCCAGGCGGTCTTTTGCAGAAATGCTTAAGACAGCCCCGCCATCGACCAGTGACAAAAATCCCTTTTCTCTTTTGTCAGATGACGAGACTGACTCTGACTTGGCTGAGGAGGGAACTTCTTTCAGTTTTCCGGAAGGTTCTGCACGGAAACGAAAGCGCATCCGTTCGCGGATTGTTGCAAATAAAGAACCCCAAATCAGCTTGCCCAAATCAAGGAGTGGTGGAAAAAAGGAGACTTCTACTCCTCCTGGATTCCGCAGAACTGACTATATCCAGGATTTTCCACCTCTTCCGGGGACATCCAAAACCCCTGATGCCCCAATTTTAAGAACAGAAACCCCTTCTTCATCTGGGTTGTTCTCATTTGATGACATTGTGGACGGTATTCTCAAATACCTCAACATTTCTGATCCTCTGAAAAGCATTGTCCTCACATTGCTTCCCACTGTGAAATCCTTCTTGAAGCAATTGACTTCAAAATGGCCCCTTCTTGCAGCTATCATCTCCTTCGATGGATAATTTTCCAAACGAGGTCGGGGATTTGATCACTGTTCTACAGTGGAATTGTCGAAGTCTTATTCCGAAATTAGATTCGTTCAAGTATTTAGTCCATAACAATAATTGCGATGCATTTGCCCTCTGTGAAACATGGCTCTCTTCAGAAATTGATCTCCCTTTTTATGATTTTAACATTATTCGATTGGATCGTGAGGATTC